TTCGTCTGTTTCACAGTATTTAAGACGCACACCTCCTCTGTGTGTGTGTGTGTGTGTGTGTGTGTGTGTGTGTGTGTGTGTGTTCGTTTGCATACCGCAAGAATAAGGACCCCGTGGTTATGACTCCACAGTCTTAAAATACTGTGGAACTGACGAACCACAGGGTCCTTAACCTTGCGGTATGCAAACTCATACACACACACACACACACCACAAGGAGGGTGTGGGGTCTTAAAATATTGTGGAACTGACGAACCACGGATTCCTTATCTTTGCGGTATGCAAACGCGCGCGCGCGCGCACACACACACACACACACACACACACACACACACGCGTACACGCGCACGCGCACGCGCACGCACACGCACACGCAAACACACGAGATGCCATTCCGATCAGTAAAATTTCATGCCATTCATATTGGAGAGAATTACGACCATAATTTGACAGACAATGAATTGACCTTGTTGCAAATTCGGAACTGAATATCTCGGCACCTAAATACCCCAGTACAAAATTTAAAAAACGGTTTGAAAGCTGTGAAATCCTACTTTTCGAAATTAATATCGAAATTGTACGCGACGATTGTTTCAAAATGGCGGATGACTAAAAGAGAGCATGCAAAGTTGATAAATAAAGCTTCAAGTTTACGACAGCGCATAGCGTACAGTAGGTATCGCAGCCTAATGTGACGAAGAGCCCATGAAAGTATGGAGTGTTATCTTTAAAATGCTTGTTTACCGAGCTCGATACTATCATTTTTCACGGAATTATGCACATTTAAAGAATAAAACGCTTTTTTCTTTAAATGTGCATAACTCCGCGAAAAATGATCGTATCGTGCTCGGTAAACAAGCATTTTAAAGCTAACACTCTGTACTTTCATGTACACTTCGTTACATTACGCTGTGATACCTGATTCACGCCATGGACCGTCACAAACTCGGATGTTCAATTCTCAATTTTGCATCCTCTCACTTTATCATTCGCCATTTTGAAAAAAATAGCCGAGCATAATTGCTATTCAAATATTCTTAAAGAGGACATTTGGAGCTTCATTTTCCATTTTTAAATTTATTTTTATCTTCATTATTTACTAAATTATGATCACTTGAAATTTGGTAAATTTTTCCCAAATTTTTAGTGTACCGCTTTTTTTGCATCTGAGTGTATTACATGCACGCGCCGCGGATTGCCAAAGACTTTTGTCAGTAGCCAGGTTTCGGCGCTTGATCATACCATGGAAAATAATACGTATATATAATAATGTAGCTGTGGTATCGGTGATCATCAAAGACATCCTCAGTGATATCTATTACATGCTAACGCAGTAGGTGCGAGTTTAAACGCGGAACTCTCTGACATCACGCACCTAGACAAGAAAGTCGCTGTCAGCAGCCAGGTTTAGGCGCTTGACCTCATGACTCATGCCATGGATGCGCGCAGCTGTGTGTCTGCGCTAATCATTTGTATATCGTCATCTTCCGATGATATCTATTACATGCATGTGTCGCGGATTGTTTCGCGCCGCGGACCTCCCTGCGCCACCGCGGATCGCGTAGCGTCGCGGTCCTCCTCCTTCCCGCGTCGCGGATCGCCGCGGAATATCTCCTTCCCCGCGCCCCGCGGATCGCCAAGCGTCGTGGAATAATAAACGTGGAACTCTCTGACATCATGCACCTAGACAAGAAAGTCAGCAGCCAGGTTTCGGCGCTTGACCCCGTGACTCAGTCCAGGTGTTCGCGCTAAAAATGACAGGTCAGCACCTAGATATCTGTTACATGTCACGTAGTGACAGGTCAGCACCTTGCGTGACGTCAAGGTCGTGTACTCCCCCTCCTCCCCGCGGTCCCCTCGCCGCGGAGTACCCCCCTCCCCGCTGTCCCCTCGCCGCGGGGTACCCCCCGCACCGCTCTCCCCTCGGAGCTCCATGGGTTAGAATCCCCCTATATACCCTACTGTCGAGTATGGACTCGATACCAAGAAACCCAAAGTTTCCGTAGACGACGAGGACAAGGTCGCAGGCAAGTGACATCGAGACAAGACGATAGAGCGATCGTACGGTACATATCGCGTTATCCGAGAGCAATTGCTCGACAAGTGCGCGATGAATTTCGTCATATTCTCGACAGTAATGTGAGTGTCGACACAATCCGCCGAAGATTTCGGGAGACTGGCCGATATTCGAGATGTTGTGCGAGAGTCCCAGCGCTGACATTAAACCATCGTCATCAGCGTTTAATTTACGCACAGGGCCATGTGCAATGGACCGAAAGACAGTGGAGTCGTGTTATTAAACAGACGAGTCGCGATTCTGTCTGTACGGTAATGATCGTCGTCACCGGGTGTGGCGTCCACATAATTGCCGATACAATCGAGAAAATGTGGCTCGAGTAAGAGCTTATCACGGTGGCTCAGTGATGGTGTGGGCGGGAATAACTTTCTCCCATCGCACAGAACTCGTAGTAGTGCCACCGCCAGGATTAAATTCTGCACGGTACGTGGAAGAAATCTTGGATCCGCATGTGCTTCCAATGCGCGACAGGATTGGACAAAAATTTTTGCTTATGCAAGATAATGCTCGTCCTCATACGGCACAAAATACCCGTCGATTCCTCGGGTTAAATGACATCTCGACCCGTGACCATCCACCATTAAGTCCAGATCTTAATCCCATCGAACATCTATGGGATATTCTTGGACGACGACTGCGAAATCTGGAAAGGCCTCCTGTAACATTAGAAGAACTGGTAAATATCCTTCGACGACTTTGGAACAATATTCCTCAACAGTTGATACGTCGGTGCATTAATATGCAAGAGCGTTGCCAAGAAGTAATAAGGCAACAGGGGGTAATACACGTTTCTAAAAAAACACAGCAGCAGAGAAGGTTTAGAGTCACTAAATACTGCGGGAGTGACGAACCGTGGGGTCCTAAACTCTACTGACATACGTGCGCGCGTGTACGCACATACACACACAAACACAAACGCACGCACGCACGCACGCACGCACGCACGCACGCACGCACGCACGCACGCACACGCACACACACACGCACACACAAACACACTCACGCGCACGCGCACGCACGCACGCACGCACGCACGCGCACGCGCGCGCACACACACACAC